TAACCAGAAGGCTGGTGGTTCAAACCCACCAGCCACTCCTCGGAAGGAAGGTTGGGCAATCTACTTCCGTAGTGATACCACCTTGGAAACCCAAGGAGGGGTCGCTATGAGTCATGTCTGACTCAATGGCAAACAACAATGACAACAACATTGCCCTTAAATAGGTTCTAATTCATGGTGACTTAAGTACTACAGAGCAGAACCACTTTATGGGGTTTTCTTGGCTGCAATCTTTCTGGAAGCAGATCACCAGGCCTTTCTCCCACAGAGACCCTAGGTAGGTTCAAAACACACCTTTTGAGTTTGTTAGTCAAGCACAATCTTTGTACCACCCAGGAAGCCCCATACATGCAGGAAAAGAAGAGCATGCTATGCCTTGTAAAAAGTCTACACATGTTTTTAAAAGTAATCATCAGGTCACTTTTAGTCTCTCTTTTGGAGGATGTTATTTTATTGTAAGACATCATTTTTATTAAATACACTGTAGTACAAGAGACTTTTCATGTCAGGTTGAGAGAAGCTGGTCACATGATTTACAAACAAAACTTTTTTTTTTTTTTTTTAAACACTGATATTCAGGTGTCACTTTGAAATCAGCCAAGATGCAGTGGGTCTTATAAAGCAATGGACCTCAAAACAGATTGCAAAACAAGAGCTGGTAATTATCAGCACAGAGACGTCACATTAAAAGGAAAAGAAACCAAATTGAAAGAGAGTTCCAAATACCAGGTCATAGTTTAAGGGGAAATATATCTGCAGAGAGATACTGAAATGTGTGTGTTTACGGCCCAGATATATACAAACATCTCTCCATATACAGAAGCAAATGCAGAGAGTGTCCACATCGCTAGGCAGATTTGTAACTTGCAGGTAATAATCAAGGAACGCAGGGAGCAATATTTCACCAGAATTTGGTCATTGGTCGGAGGATTACATATTTAAAATCCACATTTAATTCAAAGAACTTGTATTGAAAACATTTCCATCTGTTTTATATGTTTGTTAAGCAATAGAAAGATATACAAGCTGCAAGATGTAGGCCTTTTACATTTCATTTTGTTTTCTCCAATTGTTTTCTTTTTCCCATTCAAACAATTTGCTACTAGCAGCTTTTATTATGCTTGCTCCAGTACGTTAAATGTTCAGCCAACCCTCACTCGGCATCATTTTTTATTAATGCACAAAAATAAAATCAACACAGACCTGGCCTAGAATGCATAGACTGTAAAAATGACATCCCCACCTTTCCCCATTTCGTCTCCTGAGACGTATGTTAAGATGGCAGAAGAGTTGCTCGGTTGCGATTGTGAAATTCACAGTGTTTTGCCTGCAACACATATACATATTTATTTATTTTTTGCTTTGCTTTGTGTTCATGATGAATGGAGTAAAAAATATATATGGGTGTGTGTAAATAAATAAATACATAAATAAATAAATAAAGGTAAGAAGAACGAGAAAACTAAGAGTATTCAAGAACTTTTGACTTGAGCAGCAGTGATTCTTTCCAGCCCTGACAAGAAAATACACTTCCCTGTACTATCATATTTAAGTATAAGTCCCTCCCACCCTTAATTCTTTAGAGTAACACTGGAAATTCACGGACAAGCTATCGTAACTTCACAGTCTCTACATTCCAGTTGCTCATTGTGAAGCAACTGCTTTAACTGCTAACAGCCATTTGGGGAGTCAGGTCACTACCCAGTCCTCTCATGAGATTTCTGTAACAGTAATAGATGATCAAATTAAAGCTCAAGATTAAAACTAAAAATTCTCAAAGGAGTGGGGGAGGACAGAGAGCAAGAGAATTGAGGGTATGTGTGTGTGTGTGTGTGTGCAGTCATTTACGTAATTAGATGCAATTTAATGTTATTGGTATTATAGAGTGTCCAATTTGCAAAAAGAAAGGTAAAAGAAAAAAGAAGCCCATTCCTGACTAGGGGGTTCTGTTGTCATGGCTCTTTACAAAGGGCAGCATTCTCCTCTGTTGGGTGTTGCATTCAGATGCGGATGTGGGAATTCCCAAGAGTTGCTCATCTCACTATGGGGGTCTTGGACTTCTCCCCATTGGCCTTGAAGACCCTGAGCTCCCAACATTCCAATTCTTTTCTGGAATGCATGGACTCTGAACACAAGTGGAAAGGGGTCACGATGGGACAATGTGAACATAATACAAGTGAGCAAAAAGAGAGAGAAAAAAAGGTCACATTTCCTTTCCTGGACATTTACACAAGAAGATCTGTTTCAGTCTGCATTTTCCCTTGCAAGAAGCCGGAGAGAGGACTCAATGTAGTGGGATGGCTTTGATTTAGCTGTGTTGGGAAGCACATTATCTGAAATATGTCTTCCACCTATGCAGTACTGCACAGGGTTAAAAAGTGCAATGTAGTCTTACTGACATGGGGAATGGAAGCACAAACAGCAAAATGACATTAGAAAGTTTTGGTTATTTAGCAGATTTTAAGCAAATTATTCATACTGTACCCTACTTATAATTATTTCTGTTACTGTGTGCCTATAAATTTATACATCAATATACAAACACACTATGCATTAGTGTTTGTATATGTATAAATTGAGTATTTATAACACATATATAAATACATGAACATACTATAGGTAGCGCTGATGTGAACACATATATATAATATGAATTCTGATATACTCCTTTATAGCATAGTTCAACATGTTTTCTAAATAAGCCTGATTGTGACATTGGTTCAGTGTACAAGGGTTTAGCAGAAGCCGTGAGCAGGATTATGTGTCACCATATCTGAGCTATTTGTCATCTCATGTATTTCATGTTCTTCTAACTTCATATCCTGCTCCAGGAATATGTTTATTTTCTTTCCTGAACTGCTTGTTTGTAGATTAGAGCCTTGTGTATCAGACTGCTCATGGGAAGCCTGATCTAGTGGTCAGAATCATAAACTTCAGAGTCAGAACATTTGGATTAAGTCCCCATGGGGCCAGTAGATGCCCTGAAGACTTGTAGCATGCCACTTAACTTCTCTAAGCCTCAATTTCCTCACCTATAAACTGGGAATAATTCCTGCCTTCTCAGAAGCAAATGTGCTAGTGTATGAGAAAGCGTTTGGAAAATGATCAACAATTTATAAATGGAAATGATGGCTCAACTGGGTTTAGGCTACAGAATTTGGTTTATCACTGCAGTTGTTGTCCTTTTTAACATATTTGATGGCAGGCCACATTCGATGATCATTGCATTTTAGAATGAGGATGCTATTTTTCCAAAAATTCAAAGACTGTGAGGAGAGGAGGTGGTAGAGGAACAGTGATGGATATTTTAAGATATTCTGTGGCTCATTCCACTACTTTATGAGCAATCTGAGATTCTTTCAATGTGAGACGTCTCTGAAATCAGCACAAAGTCTTGAGACAACACAGAAAATAATACGATGATGATAATAATAAACAGTATATAAATAACTATACAACTTTGCACTTGCATAGACCCTATCAGTTCAAGGCCTTGAGGGACTTGTCAGAAGGTAAGAAGAATTTATTTATTTTTTTGCTTTTTTTCCTTCAGAGGAAAACACAAACCTGTAATGGAATGGAATCCTATCATCTTCTCATTTTCCTTAAATCCTTGCTCTAAAACTGTACAGCCCTCCTTGAATCCGAGCCCTTCAAATATTACCTCTTTTGCTCTCTGTTAAAATAAATAACTTGCAGCTTCTTCCCCCAGAGCAGCTGGCCGGTCATGCAGAATGACAAACTTGTGTGGCTTTTCAGGTCGTTGCTGATGGAATCTAGAAAAGTTGTGTACAAATCTGCCTCTTCCTTACTGCTTCACAGAATTCCATAGTGTTTTAACAGTACCATGGTTCCTTAGTATGATATATACGTGCACATATATATCATGGAGATATGGCTTTCATTATATTATTATGTGTATTCTGGAGGGGTTTTTGTTTCACTGACAAAGAGAACAAACAGCTTAATGCCCATTTCTCATAGACCAGCACAGAACTTAAAGGGACTGTAGGGTTCATCTTGTCCAATCCTCTCACTTGACCACAGATGCTCCTGGATTTCCTTTAGTTCTCTGCTAATTTACACTTTAGAGTTTTTGAGAACTGGCTTTCAAAGCCTATAATAGAAAACAAGGTGCCCCAGTAATTAACAGGTGCAAGCAAAACCTCAACACAGCTATTGCACCTTCAGGAACAAATACAAAATAAAATGAGCTTAGATAAATTAAAAACCAATCCTTTCCAGTCTGGCTCATGTTATAAAGATGTCAAATTAGCAAAATTCCCCTCACAGAGGGTAGCAACTTTTTTTGAGGAACAGAAAGAATTCTCTTTCCTGGTATAACTGGCCATCCAAATACCTGTAAATTTCTATTCAAATTTACACACTCTTTTTGCAAAATCAATGCCTATGCCCAGAAGCACACCTCCAAAGCTGGTCTGGGCACAGCCTCTCATTACCATGCTGTACCTATTTATTTATTTATTAATGGAGTGAAGACAATAAAACAACATACTGATAATAGAGTACACTTTGAATAAAACCACTCTCCCAACCAGAGCCCAGAGCAAGGCCTTGTCCTGTGTACATTGAACATCAATCCCGGTGTGATCTCCTTGCCCTTGGAGATTGGTTCTGCCCTTACTACAGTCCCAGTTCAGTTGAATGAGGACATCCAGATTTCAGGGTCCATATGAATTAAAATCCATCACCACCATATAATGCAGAGACAATTCAACTTAGCTAATGAACTCCATTAGCTTCCCCTAGTTATATATACTTTTTATAGATCTGCTCTACCTATCGGGGGCATGACACCTGGAGTGGTAGTTTCTGCACACAAGGTATTAATCGACAAAGACCATGCACAATTTAGCTTGTACAGTTAAAAGAATGGGTGGGGTGGAAGGTAGGAGTGGAAGGAGGTGCTATCTGAAAAGTTCAGTAGAAGAGAAGCTTGAGTCCACATTTATAGTGTGTCCCATCTCTTCCAAGTCCTTGGTTTTCACACCTGATCCTGAAATTATCTCTGGACAAGAATCCACCTATTTTCAGCCTAATGTGCCAAAGGCTGGGTAGATAACACTTGAAATACAACCCTGTGTTATCACCACAACCTACAGATACAAGACTGTATCTGAACCTATGAGGCAACATCTTGTGCCTCACTGACACCATCTTTTCTTTTTCCTACACTATGGTGCTTTTGGTGATGGGAAAAGAATAGTCCCATGGCACAGAGTTCAACAGTCTCTTCACTCCTCAGAAAGGTTCTTGGGGGAAGGTGCTGAATATGTTCCTTCCGGCTAATAGTTGCTGGGTTTTTCCTAAATTGGGACTGACACCAGCCGATCCCAAAGGTCATCTTTGTTCTTCCCATACTGTGGTTAATAATAAATCTTCTTTCTCTCTGTTTTTAATCTCCCATAGATAAAGGCTTCCCAGATTGAATACATGTTTTCCTTTTTCATACACAGGTTTAAGCCATCCAAAAACAATAAGAACAGTAATAATAATAAATAAATAGAAGTGAATCCATAGAAACTCCCGGTGTCTGTACAGCAGAAATGACAAAGTTTGAGTCAAATATTTGTTTTCCCTTTTTTCATCCACATCAAAGGCAGGAATACAACAAGGCATTGTTAGTTGTGGTGGGCAAACTGGAGTGTCTGCTGATATAACAAATTAGGTTTGTTAAGGCCTTTGTCTATGCAGAGTTAATAGTGATGCAGAAGCCAGATTGAGTAAAAAGAAAAGGTAAGGACTGAGAAGCAGGGAAGACAAAATAATAATAATAATAATAAAACAAAAACTGGGGGAAGAACCAAGGGAGATGGAAAGAGAGAAGAGAGAATGCCAAAAAGAAGTCAAGACTGTGTCTACAGATGGAGAAGTACACATTGCTTCCCTCTGAAAGCGTCTCAGTGTCTTTGTTGTTAATACTGTCAGAGTTAAGAACAGCATTTTGATAGCATCCAGCGGCAGTTAAAAGACGTCCATCCTCTTGCCCGTCTGAGGAGGTGTGTTGGGAAGGATCGGTCGAGGAGAAAGGGCACTAGCCTAGAATGTCCAGGTAGACCGGAGACGCCTTGGCCAAGTTCTGGAGGAGGGTGTGGATGCCCTTGATGTTCTTCCGCATGTGAGGTTCTCGCTGCCAGCACCCCAGCATCAGCTCATATACCTCCTGGGGGCACGTTCGAGGTCGCTGTAGGACACGGCCCTGAGTAATGCATTCGATCACCTGGATGAAGATCAAAGACAGGATCAGACAAGAGAGAAAGGAACGCTGATAACATAAATGGTGTTGCACAGAGGAGCAGAAAAGAGGGTTATGGTGACAAAGTATACTCAATTATTATTATTTCTAAAGAGAGCAATGATAGCAGGTTAGTTTATATTGTAGTAAATATGCCTGGATTTTCTCCATTCTTTATGTCACTTTGACTTCGCAACACTAGTGCAGAAACAAAATGGGGCTGTGGTGGTTCAGCGGTAGAATTCTCGCCTTCCATGCAGGAGGCCTGGTTCGATCCCAGCCGGTATAACTCGTGTGCACCTACCACCTGTCTGTCAGTGGAGGCTTGTGTGTTGCTATGATACTGAACAAGTGTCAGCAGAGCTTCAAGATTAAGGGTGACCAGAAGAAAAACTTGGCAATATCCTTCCAAAGTCAACCAATCTGAAACTGGCCTTAGTGATGGCACAGGACCAGGCAGTATTTCTTTCTGCTGTATCTGGCATCACAATGATTAGGGCCCAACTCAACAGCAGCTAATAACAACAATGGAGAAACAATTCATCTATATGCAATGCTCCTAAACCTCAAACTAGAATTCTTGTGCTTTACCTTTGGGTTAACATGCTGAGTGATGAAGGAACTCCAGGCCATCTTGTGTAATGAAATTGGATGGAAGGATATATGGGTCAGAAAAATACATGAGATGCCTGACCAAGAAGCTGTGCCTCAAATACAGACATATTTGCAAATATGTTAGAATAGGAAAAAAATGTTTGAGTTTTTTCCTGTTAATTCACAAAAGTTAATGTTTTAGTGAAGTCATTGTTCTAGTGAAATGTGAACAAAAGAAACAAATCTTGAGCCCTCATTGGAACAATACCAAAACCCTAGCAGGACTAGAAGGCTGCTGGAATCCTACATCTGCTATTAATTTATAAAATTTGCAGCAAAACATCATTCCTCAGTCTCATCACCAGAGAGTCATTGACATATCAGAAAACACTGTGCTTTTCTGTCTCTAAAATTCTTAAATTTAGAGGGTGACTATGCTCTGGCCATGACGTTGAGGCACAGAGAAGACAATTTGGGAGGTGTTGCCTCTGACAAAGCCACATCAAACCACATCCCGACTTGTAGCTGACAGAAGACTCTCAGCTGATGGAAGTGCTCAGCCCTCTCAGGAGGGTCTCAGGCCCCTGCCCACTGCTCACCTCATTATTTGATAGCTGGTACCAAGGCTGTTTGCCGTATGTGAAGATCTCCCACAACACAACCCCTAGACTCCAGACATCACTCTCTGTGGTAAATTTCCTGTACATGATGCTCTCTGGAGGCATCCAACGAATGGGCAACATCGTGTGGCCACCGACCTGAGGAAAAGGGACGAACAAGGAGGCATTAGTCAATCCTGAAACCAAGTTCCTGCCATCAAGGAGAAAGGTGCAGAAGGGAGGTCTAGGGAGACATTTTTTCTTTCCTGTCTTTGCACCTATTAGTCTTGCTTATAAACACATATGGAAACTATGATTCCTTTATGCAAGTAGTCCCCAATTTACCATATATTCAAGTTATGATGAACTGCACTTAAAACCATCCACTTTATATATATGTTGTTGTTGTTGTTGTTATGTGCTGTGGAGTCGGACCTGACTCATAGCAACCCCTCTTGGGTTTCCAAAGTGGTATCACTACAGAATCACTAAGTAGATTGCCCCATCTTCCTTCCAACTTTATATATATATATATATATATATATATATATATACACATATAAAGATACATATATATCTTATTGTTATAATAAAGGAGCTCTGGTGACATAGTGCCTAAGGCATTTGACTGCTAACCAGAAGGTTGGTGGTTCAAACCCATCAGCCACTCTGTGGAAGGAAGATGGGGCAATCTACTTCTGTAAAGATTTCACTTTGAAAACCCAATGGGAGTCGCTATGAATCAGAATCAACTCTATAGTAGTGAGTTTGGTTTTTTTGGTTGATCGCTATAATATGTACTACATATAATATTGTACCATATAATTTGTTGATGTTATCTTTCTCATGTCCACCTCAAAAGACAATTAAAGATTGGATTTATAAATATACTGATAATAAAAGGCAATAATAATGAAGAAAAGAAAGTATTCAACTTACATCAGAACTGACTTACGACAGAGTTGTGGGAATATAAATCAGGGATGACCTGTACTCTCAAGCAACAGAGATAGAGGGCAAAGATGACTGAAATATAGATTTATATTATTGGAAAGTCTTTCTTTCTCAAAACTAGACAGTTATAGCAGTGAAGTGGATAAGAAATACACAGTCATACTTTCAGTATGAGGATAAGTTATTCTAAGTAACAAGATAATCTTGACCAGGATAACAACTAGGGAGATGCAAAATTTACATGCTTGGCTCTTAAATGATTGGAGGTGGAAATCCACCCAAAGGCACCTGGGAAGAAAGACCTGGTTATTCACATCTGAAAAACCAGTCACTGAAAACCCTACGGAACACAGTTCTACTTCAACACACAAAGGGTTTCCGTTGCAGTCCACTTGATGGCAAATGATTAGTTTCTTTCTTTCTTTTTTTGTTTTTCCAATTATCATACAAAATTATCTTCCTAATAATTCTACTTGTTTAGTAAAGACAGAATTTCCTTCTGTGTTATTGTGCTACTTATGTGCAGTGCTGATTTGAACATCCTTACCATAAACCAATAGTTGGCTGGGCAGAAATTATCCTCACTTTACAGATGAGGCAACTGAAGTTCAAGTTGTTTAACAGATACAAAGAGCCCATGACTTTGGACTCCAAGTTCAGTACTTTCCTCTGTTACTGAAAAAAACCAAACTCACTGCCATTGAGTTGATTTGCCTCATAGCGACACCTCCTTGGGTTTCCAAGGCAGTATCTCTACAGAAGTAGATTTCCCAGTCTTCCTTCTGAGAGTGGCTGGTAGGTTTGAACCACCAGTCTTCTGGTTAGCAGTCAAATGCCTTAGGCACTATGTCACCACAGGACACTGTTATTTAGCTCATTATTTCCAGGGGGAAAGAAAAGCTTTTTAAAAGTTCATTTCAGGTAAATATTGAGGCTGAGGCATCCAATGGGAATAGCATTTGCACAAAAAGAACTTGTTTTATAGAGAAGACATCTTTATGATTTCATACCACATGGAGAAGAGGTGGCATTTGATACTCAGGTGTGTAGGCCACTAAGCCTGACTAATCTTAAAAACATGGACAGACTTCTTCATAGCAGCCCTATATAGAGGCTAGTATGTCCCATTCTTCACACTGGTAAAAGGCCAGCACTCAGGCTGAATGTGGCATGCCTGACACCAGAACAACAAGTGGGTTATATTTCAGTAGGAACTAAACTTATTACAACTCTTGGCCCCTAAGTTTCTAGGCTCATGCTACATAGAGTAGCATAAAACAATAATAATTCCTAATATTCATTCCTGACTCATTGAAGGACTGTTAAAGGAGCTGTGTCTTGAATTGGACTTCTAGTGCCTCAAAAAATGATCCTTAGCCCCAGAGCCCAAGATACTGATGAGAGTGTCAGAAATATACTGGGGGACATTACTTGCTGGCTGGAGGTTAAGGTGGCCCCATATCTCTACTATTCAGTTTTTAATAAGCCAGAAGGCACAATCAATCATGGGGGTGGCACAGAAGTGAGCAGTGTTTCACTTTGTTGTGCATAGGGAGTCAACCCGATGGCAGCTAACAATAACACAGTAATGAATTATAAATGTTAATGTACTAAACACTCTCAAGGTATTGCTTCCTTTTCTGTAACCTTTCCTATATTATTTCCAATGGGAAATAGCCATTCTGGATACACTAATGAGAACAGTCTGCCCCATCCTCCTCACAGGACTTCTCTCTCAGGTTCTCTGCACTGCTAATGGCCAGGAGTTCAGGCCAAAGCAAAAAGCTCCTGTTTCCTTTAAAGGAGGGGAGAAAGAAATTCAAATTGTGATTTACATGTTTTCCCATCTGATCATTTATTTTATGCTTGCAATCTCTTTGGGACAGATTTTTCACTTTAATTCTTTCAAGAATCCCTTCTGGGATTTCACACATGCTGTTATAAACAATGCTTTCCTTGTTCTGATGTCAAACGGGTGAGTGGTGGGAGAATCTAATAAAAGTTCAGACAAGGTTCACAAGTTTTCTAACTCACTCAGAACATTTCTGAACATTTCTTTTGCAGACCTTTCTCAGGATTTGGAGGGTTTGTCACAAAAGTAGACCGAAAAAAAAAAAAAAGTCACCGTTGTTACAAATTACTATCACATTCCAATCACAGTGATTCGATGGTATTTGGACCTCACAAAACCACATACTGAGCTGCAACAAACACAATGAGACATTTGTTTTTTATTGTGAGACTTGGCAGCTTGCCCTCACACCCTTGCTTAAATATTTGTGAGACAGAATGTGATCTAAAGGGTTCAAGTGTGACATTGAGAGTCAGAATTCCTATTCCTGACTGCCCAATAGCCACAGTTCCAGAAGAGATGCTTCAACTGCCCAGTTGGGTCAGGCAACATGCCCTTTACTACACTCACCAGACTGAACTTATGCAAGATGAGAAAATATAGCTAGCTGGGGAGTTAAGGACTTGAACCTGGAGTTATTCTTTCAAAGAGATCAGGGCTCTCTATTTTCCAATCTATCCCCTAATAACGTCTCTAAATTCTTGATGGGACCAAGCCTTAGATTAGATGGATGGAAATAGTTTTGACTATTTGATGTTACAAATAAGAATGAAATAATAAAATACACGACACACAGAGTATAAGAGATCACAAAATCTCCCCCAAAGTCATCCTAAAAGCAAACAATTGTTGTTGTTGTTGTTATGTGCCGTCGAGTCATACCTGACTCATAGCGGCCCCTCCTTGGGTTTCCGAGGCAGTATCACTACGGAAGTAGGATTGCCCAACCTTCCTTCCGAGGAGTGGCTGGTGGGTTTGAACCGCCAGCCGTCTGGTTAGCAGGCAAGTGTCTTAGCCACTATGCTACCAGAGCTAACAATAGTTTAGGTTAATTTGTAAAAAAGTCTGCCTTGCATTATGCTCTTTTAAGAACTGTATATATGGGATCAAACTGGCAACAGCAACTTGAAAGATTAGATAGGAACCTTAAGGGGCAGTGAGTTTACATTAATAAGGGAAGAAAACTCATAAAGGGAAAGTGAGAATGGTTGCATAATTAAAAGAATATAATCAATGTTACTAAATGGTATAGGTAGAAACTGTTGAATTGGTGTATGTTTTGCTGTGTATATTCTCAACAACAGCAAAACAAATAAAATTTAACCCAACCACTGCCGTCAAGCCTAACCCACGTCATAGCGACCCCTCCTTGGGTACTGAGGTGATATCACTGGGGAAATAGATTGCCCAACCTTCCTTCTGAGGTGTGGCTAGTAGGTTTGAACCATCAACCTCTGGTTAGCAGTCAAATGCCTTAGGCACCATACCACCAGAGCTCCTAAATTTAGAAAAAGGAAAAAAAGATCTCTAAGCTATACAAGACTATAGCAGGCTAGGAAGAAAGACCTGGCTATCTACTTTTGAAAATTAACCAATGAGAACCTATGGATTATAACAGAATTTTGTTTGATATAGTGCTGGAAGAAGAGCTTCCTAAGTTGAAAGGCATTATATTAGTTATAACAATGACAATACTGTTATACTGACAATCATGAAGATGGCACAGGACCAATCAATGTTTTGTTCTGCTGTACATGAGGTCACCATTAGTCACAAATGACTCAAGAGAAACTAACAACAAAGTTATATAAGAAATCCCATTCCTCAGTTTTCCATTTGCACTGCAAATTAGGAGAGTGTTCATAGTGCAGATCTGGAATTATCTAGAATGACATCTAGGAAGACTTCTAACTCATAATATAAGGGAGTATTGTTCTAAAGATGTCAACCAATGTCCTATATCTACTAGGGTTAGAGAAAAAGGGAGTAGATTGACAAAGTTAAACCATGGGGGGGGGAAAAAAAGCCTTGAAGGACCATGAAGACTGCTGATCACTGCAACTTAGTTAAATGAGTAAAGCCAATCAGAACAACGCCAGAAGCCTAGGGAAAAAAAAAAAAAAAATCCAAAACATCTGAAATAAATCAAATTACAGAAAATAACGAATTATGTTTTTAAAACATGAAGCGGGGGAAAGAACCCAAAAACTCTTAGCTCTTAATGTTTATTTCCATGACACCTCATCATTTTGATAGTGATATGTACAGGAGGCTCTGTTTTTGAAAAATATATAACACTTTTACTCTAGTTAAAATATCTGGGGCCTGACCATCTTTTAAATCCACTTATTTG